AGCCCTACTTCTGGTCCATCACGTTCTTCACCCTCTTCCTCCTCACCCTCTTCCTTGGTCTGTTGATCATCTGTCTACGCCACGTCTACATGAACCTTGTCCTCTCGCCCTATCTGGGCGAGGCGATCGGTCCGCTCATCTGTGGGGCCTCTTTCCTCTTCCTGGGAGCCGGATTCAAATTTCTTTACGACGCCTACCAGCTGGGAGCCAAGGAACGGCAGAAAATAAAGGTGTGTGGGAGAGAGAAGGGAAAAATTTACATGAATTTGCATGACTAAAAATTTCGGGGAAATTAGAACTCTCCCGGTCCCCCGCCCCCAAAGACGGTGTTGCAGGCTGAAATAGGATTCAACTCGGGTCAAAATGTACCGACATGCATGTAATCTGAATATTGTACAGGGCGGATCCCTGGTCAATAGGCTACAGTGCGTGACTCATCTCATGAAATGTTGGCTGAAATTCTGAAATGCGTTTTCGATTAGGAAGGATTACTTGGTCGCGGTTATGATACTGATTATCTTAAGGCATACTCTTATAACATTTTGGAATTGGCAGGATGTCGGCTTTTAAATGCACTTCTGTTCAATCTCCTGTAGAATGCGTGGTCGGTAAAAAATGACTACTTAAGTAGCATGCATTTTTCCCATTGATTTTCGAGGGGCTTGGAAATTCAAATATATTTTATAGAAACCACAAACAGAAATATGCTTTCTTTTAATCAAGCAATAGAGAAATACGTCTTCTTTATATTTTATACTTAAGGAAGGAGAATAATTAGGTTTCAAAAAAAAGTTTTCTAATTGCCTAATAATTTGGAGCCTGATCACTCGTTGCTTTAGCGCTTAGTGATTACACTCTACAAGGTGCATGCGTTCCCCGTAAAGAAAATCCCATATTTTTCTATATCATTAAAGAGATACCATACAGGGTCCATAAAATTTTGCAATGGATGCGGACCATGTTGTACATTTCATGAGGAGCAGTGGTAAACGGCCAGGTACGATGCTATGTGAATGGACATATCGCGGTCTTAAAAAGTCTCATAATTAGAAACTTTTGCAAAACCTAATTATACTCCTTTCTTAAGTAAAAAATATAAAGAAGACGTATTTCTCTATTGATCGACCAAATGAAAGCTTATTTTTGTTTGTGGTTTCTATAAAATATATTTGAATTTGCAAAACCATCGAAAATCGATGGGAAAAATGCTTACTACTTAAGTAGTCATTTTTTACCAAGCACGCCTTCTATAGGAGATTGAAAAGAAGTGCATTTTAAAGCCGACATCCTGCCGAGTCCAAAATGTTATAAGAGTATGCCTTAAGATAACAGTATCACAACCGCGACCAAGCAATCCTTCCTAATCGAAAACGCATTTAAAATTTCAGCCAACATTTCATGAGATAGGTCACGCACTGTATCTGTGACCAAAACGTTGTGCCTGACCTTATTAGCTGGAGCCTATTCTATGCATTCCTGTCCACTGTCTTTGCGGATCTCATTTGATTCGGGTACGATTGGTAACGGCCAATGTTCAGTGGCCGGCTCTCGACGGTCAGTCAGTGATGTATAAGTATATATTGACATGGATTTATCGTGCTTCCGGTTTGAGTACTATATAAGATCCCATACACGTATTTCGCTGATCTTCTGCCGATGTATGATACAACTGCGAGGAATTCGGCTAATCAATGGGCCACTCCGCGTTCCCTGTGTGCATTTCGTTATCCAAGGGCTGGCCTAATGAACCAAACTCTTCGCTGTACTTCGTATGTATGCATTTATGAAGGATTAAGCATCTGACAGCAGTGACCCTTTCAATAGTATCGTTTTGTCGGGGACCATTAGCGGTGGCAGCTTCAAGAGTAGACGGCATTACCTACGCCACCTGACTGATAAACCTTTGAAGTGTGGCATTACGACGATGTCGGTCACCCAACAGTCATTTATAACCGCAACATTGTCGTTTCGTCGTATTAACTATCTGCCCATGTTTGTGACTGGACAGCCAAGCGCATTTCCTAAGAATATTACTGACACGCTTATGGGTTAGCAGCTGGAACAACCCAAAGCATTGACCAATTCGGTTTGAACGAAGTTGCTCACAGACGACAAGTTTCGTGAATAGAATCCGCTTTAAAAGTGCCACGGGATTTAAGGTCACTGTTTTACTGGCTGCCCGACGGAAACGATTAATTGCCCTTTTCTAAAACAACAATTTTCGTTCTCCTTTTAGTACCAATCCGCGAGTGCATCAACAGTAGCTGTCAAGTTAGCCGAGGCGCCCGCAGTTGAGGCGACGTAAGTTTTTCTTCCTTTCCTCATCTGTATGTTGTATCTTCACGAAAAAGCGTCCTGCCCCTAACGGGTGCCGCGTTGTGGATCTAGACGAAAGCGGGCGTCTCATCGGCTGGTGGTGTGCGTCAATTGATCTGGGCTGGGTCTGCTTGCAGGTTACTCCTGGTTACAGCTGCGTGTGGCAGGGGTTGGGTGGGGACTCCACCTGCGCCCTACAGTCTTCTTGAGTCTCTATTGACAGCGGGTCCAGGTGGGGAATGGGGAAGAGGGAGTGCGGAAGATGCTGCGTAAGTCTACTATCACTATAAACTAATTCACACCCAAGAGACTGATGGCGATAATGAGGTTCACCTTCGCATGGCAATCCAGTGCTTCTCTAACCATGATAAGTCTGCCGCAATTTGAACCACCATAACGTGATAAAAGTTCGTGATTTGTAAAGATGTCAGCCGGTGGGATGGCCCTATCCCTCATTGGACGAGGATCAGGCAGCACTAATTAGTCCTCTTTGAGATACCGATGGTACTCTCGTTTGTATGAGTCCTCAGACTCCATGGGTGCCGACTTGACCGTGCAGAGACAGGGAACATCGCATGCGTGGCACGCGTAGACGGGTTCGTCATTCACTCCGTTGCTACCATTTCTGATGTCTGCGGGTACCCTCTTTTGTATGTGATCCCAGACTGCATGGGTGACGACTTGTACGTGCAGAGACAGGGACCATCACATGCGTGGCACGCGTAGACGGGTTCGTCAATCACTCCGTTGCTACCATTTCTGATGTCTGCGGGTACCCTCTTTCGTATGTGATCCCAGACTGCCTGGCTGACGACTTGTCCGTGAAGAGACAGGGACCATCACATGCGTGGCACGCGTAGACGGGTTCGTCAATCACTCCGTTGCTACCATTTCTGATGTCTGCGGGTACCCTCTTTTGTATGTGATCCCAGACTGCATGGGTGGCGACTTGTACGTGCAGAGACAGGGACCATCACATGCGTGGCACGCGTAGACGGGCTATTAAGCCTCGTCAGTCACCCCGCTGTTACCATATCTGACTGTCTGGGGGTGAGCATAAGGTGTGCAGTGGATGCTGCGCAAGCCAACCGCACCATGTAGACACACAAGTCCCCACTGCGCCGTCTCCAAAGCACGAGATATCGAGCGATCAGGGAATTTAATTTTTTCCTGCCGATCGGGGTGGCCGATCCATCGTTTGCTTAAGCTCCTTCAGATATAAATAGGCGCCCAAAACTATACTTAGGAAAGACGAGCATCGACTTACAAGACGAAAACTGGAGAATATTGAAGGTGCGATAGTTGGGATACAGGTGTTAACTATCATAATTCTGAAATTAATGGAACTACTTCCTCCCACCAAAGACTCAGGCCGAGGAACATGATTCTACTACTGTTGGCTTTCTGAGAGGATGCTGAAAAGTAGGCTCCGGTGAAGACATTGCCTGGCTCGGCAGTTATCAGAATGCGCACGGTCTGGGTCAGGTGATGCTTACACTCAGACTGAATTTAAGGGTACATTTTTGTTGTTGTCATATACTTGTTGGTCCCACACCTTATCGCTACCGACGAATTTAAGTCAACAAGACGAAAACCAGAGGAGAGTGAAGGAACGATATTTGGGATACAGGTGTTAACTATCAGAATTCTTAAATTAATGGAACTACTTCCTCCTAAATAAGACATAGACCGAAACACCGAATTCTACTGCTGTTGGCTTTCTGAGAGGATACTGAAAAGTATGCAGTGAAAAAATGCTTCCCAATGTGGTCGTCTGCGTTCCATAACGATGGTTACCTGCACCGGTTCGTTGGTTGATCGCACTGGATTGGTGCAACCGCAGTAATAGTGACTTGGTTGTATGAGACGGTCAAGAGGCTTATTTGGGTTGGCCGAATTTGTGCGGGCAGCTAGCCGGTGCAGCCATGTTACCATCACCGCCAACACACCAGTAAAACGAGATCGACCAATTAAGACGCCAAGAAAATTTCCGTCGAGAATAAGGCTCAGTGACTCAGAAAGTAGTTTATACTTTGCTTTATTTCTTCATGTAGTTCTAATTTTGACAATAGACCGGGATTCGTCAGTTTCAAAAATTAGACTGTTTTCGCAGAACTGCCCCGGTGAAGAGATTGCTCAACTCATCAGTTATCGTAATGCGTACGGTTCGGGTGAAGCGATGATCGACTTGCGAGCAGACAGGCATTCCAGGCAGGCGATCGACGTCAGGATATTTTATCGAAAAACAGTACTTTTAGGCAACAGCAATTCCTGTTACCACTCTGCTATTGAATATAAAGTAAGAATTTCGTGATTTAACTGACTGGTTTGATATCACAATTCAGCTGTCTTCTTGGTAAACCCTACAGGGAGGAATTGGTCAGCGGAAAGACAACTGACAAGGCATTGTCTCGGGCGCCGATTGGAACTCGAACTGTGGCTCCATCCGTTCTCTCCTACTGACGGTTCTCAGGTGTTTTGCCCCGACACAGCCTCGTCCAACTCCCTTCCCAGTAAACTTCCTTTGTACTCAAATACCTGCTCTCAGTCTTTGTATTTCTCCCCTCCCCCTCAAATCTATTTTGCAAAGTCAACGCTTTATAAATTTAAGAAAAAGCTTTTACTTGCACGTGTTAGTGTTCAATGTTGACAAGTTTTCTAACCAATCATTGCGAGGGCGATCATTTCGCCGGTTTGAGAAGAAAAGAGCGAATGCGCAAAGAAGTGGAAAGGCTGCTTTTTCGTCCTCCGGACTTGTTCAGAATAGGACGATTCCTGTTTGGGCAGACACATTTACAGATACAACGAGCTCTGCATCTACGTCTTGCTGTTTGGCCTCCACGAACGGTCCCTAAATCAAACCAGCGATGGCCCACCCCCGAAGTGTATTTGATTCCTGACTTGTTTGTCACCCACTCGTACAATTTAAACAGTATTCAAAAGACGAGTGGACGAGTATACGTTGATTTCGATGAATTCTCTTCAAGCCAGTACAATTATATGGGAACCGGGTACAGTCAAATATGTCATTGATTGGAAAATCGATAAGTTAGTTTTAAAACACAGGCGGGACGAGAACGGAAGGGCGCAGAAAGGTGCTTGTGGTTGGTCAACCTCGAACCACAGCAGACGCAGAGCCTGAACGAGGTTCTTCTGAGCGCACACGGCCGGTTTTCGTAACCTGACTGCAGTCGTTTCTGCTGTTGCTAACACTGCCACAGCAAGAAACGTCTGGAGTCGTTTATCGGATCTGGTGCAGTTGCGTACAAAGCAACTACGTTGGAGAAACCGGAAGACAGCTCCGAACAAGGATGGTCGAACACGCTGCAGCGGTGCGGAGAAATGGCGTCAGCTCTCAAATTGCGGCTCATTCGACGAGATCCGGCTACACATTCAAATTCGACGAGGCCGAAATCCTCGCAAGACGTCGTGACAACCACGTGAGCCGGAAGCTGCTTGCGTCATGGTTTACTGCCCCCCAGTCCATTAACAAGTGCAATGATTTCCCCCTTCCATACTCGGTGCTGAGACCGCCTAGGCAGAGTAATTGGCCACGCGGAGAGCGCACAGGTGGACACTTTTCCCAACACCAGGGTCGGTGTGTCACATGGTCGAGTAATCATCACACCAACATCCAACGCACGTGAAGAGATTTCAGCAATTAATGACGCAAATGCCGGCCATCAAACAGTCATCACACTACTTGCAACGATCCCTGATGAAGGGGGAAGCCGTGAATATTCATAGGTATGCGGTAGCATGGCGACTGTATCCTATAAATACTGCAGCCCCTTATGCATGAACCACCCTTATCTGCTTTTGTCTTTGATGATGGGTTCGAGCGGGAATCCGAAACGTCATGCTAGTAATGCTCTTGTCCCAGCAATCGTGTCGCCTTCTTCAAGCCGCCCCCCTGTAGCCCACCGCCACTTATTCATAAGTCCTGAGAGCCTGCTAATTTTGCAGCTAACTTTCCCTGAGGGCCGTCCCGCTATCCGCCACCTGCAAGGCTAACGGCTAGTCCGCATTCCTGGACGACTTGGTCGAGGGACAGCCCTGTATTTCCTGTATTTCACAGTTGGACTCCGCACCCCACCCTCGTTAGTATTATAATGCAACAAAAATTCACAACGATTTTCTGATTGAATTCTGGATGTTGCCCATCCTCTGCGCCCTGAAGTAACTGCTGCGATGTCTTTCCGCCTCAGGAGTCGTGGCTTCCGGCATATCCCCTGCCGTAGAGCAGCAGCATATCAACGCTCCGTACTACCGTTTATGGCATGACACCTTACGTGTAAGGAGATTTTGCTGTCCCCCAAATGACTGCAGTTTTATGTTAACTCATTTTCTCTACCATTGTCTGTTAATTTGTCAGGCAGAAGAACTAGTGGAGGACTTTGGTGGAAAAGTTGGAATCATACTTTCGAGAACTAAGACGAATTCCACTCTCCTTACAAGTCACTAATAACTTACCGATGGCGCCATTGCCACACTCAGAGTGGGCATTTTTTAGCCTCTTTTCCCGTGAGGGAGAAAACAGGGTGTTGTATCCAGCTGGTCAACGCTTGGAATTCTCCACGCCCTCCTCGCACGTGCTTCCACATTTGGTCCCTGTTGATATACCCCTTTCCCCTTTTTGTAACCGTCTTTCGAACGTGATCGGCGTTCTTTTTGCCTTCTGACTTGCTCGAACAGTAACAAAGGAAATCTTTGTCTAGAGTATCCATTGTTGAGGTTTGTACGTTTTTTTATTATTTCCTTATTCTATCAATAGTACCACGTGCATACACCGAAATCTGTTTTGGCTTATACGCGTGACTCAATTTACCAAGAATTCTACACAGGGCTTTCATGAATAGGGCTCCAAAGGTGTGGGACACGACTTTGTTACATTGGAAAGACACTCCCAATTAACCTGAACCGCCTACGGAACTGCAAGCCGCCTCCTGCGTAGGACCTTGGGGGCGGGGAAGAATAGGAACTACTTCAAGTACCACCAGCTTCGATGGTGGTGGGGCGGACATTTCTTGTTTCTTGGGGATTTCAAATAAAGGTGGTCCAGTTGGTCCGGCCCTGTCTCTACCGCTTTGGCCCAAAAACTTAATCGGTGTCAAACAAGCCTATTTGATGACGGCTCCGATCGCTATGCCACATTGTCACCATTGGCCTGAGCGGAAGTTAGAAGGTAGTCAGTGTGCCAGACCCAAGCCCATTGCGCCCTGGTAGCCCTATCCCTGCTACTCTGCGACCGCTGATTCGTCAGACCCCAGGACCTGCCAAGTTTGCAGCTGACCTCCGCTGAAGGTCATTCCACTATCTGCCACCTGCTAGGCTAACAGGTAATCCGCGTTCCCCGACGACCCGGTCAAGGGATACTTTCCTGGATTTCCTTGGACTCCACACCCACCCCCTTCAAGGTTTTGGAAATACGCCGGAGGGTGTGTGAGACCTTACTGGGTGGCGGGCAACAGTTGTCAGGTCTTAATAAGCAAGCAACTTGTTGGATCCGTCAACAGTCACGCCTGGGGACAGCAACACCACCTGATCCACAGGCGCTTATTTGCATCCGCTCATCGAACTGCTAGCCCTCATTGGAGGCTCTTCCACTCCTCCGCAAATGTAGACTCACAGGATAGCCCGAAGTCAGACTACGCGCGTGGACGGGCACCTTTAGTGGCGAAAAGGACAGCCTCGCAGTCTTTCGGGGTTGAACGGTTGTCAGGGGGGGGGGGCCGAATCATTCCCAGTATACAGGTAAAAAGACGCAAACACAATGTTACGCAGTAATTTCCGTTTTCATCCCAAAACCACTGAAAGCAAAATATTAGACTTGAAGTTAAATACACGCCATTGGGGAAAGGAAACAAACACAACAGTTGAACCCTGGGAGAGGGGGACAGGGGGAGGGAGGGAAAGGCAGCAACTCATCACGTGGGGGTGAGTGGGTGTGTGTGTGCGTGGGGTTGGGACAGTCCAGGAGGTAAGCTATTTACAGAGTGCTGGGCCTCCCTCCACCCTAGCCCGCCTCGCCTTCCAAACTAACTAGCCAGCCGAAGCAGCGGGTACATCCTACTTGGCAGGAAAGTGAAGTCTAACCGGACTGCGAGCCGAGGAGAGCGCAAGTCGGGCGGCCGATTGGCCGGCAGTTGTTTGGCATTGGGCCGTTTCTCCGGACGAGCGGCGAGGAGACGCGTCACAACGTAGTTGTTCTTCGCCAGATGGTCCACATCCGCCAGACTGTCTACCGGACCCAGCGGCAGAAGTCCGCTCTCGGTGGCGTAGAAGGAGCCAGGGGAGCGTAATTTTGCGAGCAGGGACTCGGCATTGCGCAGACACTGTCTGGCCACACCGTAGATCTTGCTTGCTAACTGGTAGAGGTCCGTGGTGGAGCAGTCAGCGAAATGGCCCATCACAAGATACTCGTGGGCGGACCGGAAGGCTGCCATGGCGCCACCTGGATCGGCGAGTGGGGAGGTGGGTGAGCTGATTAGGCTACCGAGGCGCCGAATGAATTGCGTACGAAGTGAACCGTAGAAACGGCGTTGACCAGGCGTGAAGGGCACTCCCGGCGCCGGGCCCTGCTCCAGCGAGTTCAGATCAATGCCAACTTCGCGCTGGAAGGCACGCAGCACGTAGATGGTGGCGGCGCAGATGAAGCGATGCATATTGGCGAGCTCCATCTGTTTTAATGGCAGATCGGGTGGAAACAAAGGAGGGTAATAAGTCTTCTCCCGAAACAGGCCTAGTCGGCAGCTGACGCATCCACTAACACGTATACAACAAGTGCCTGTAGTTGCCTGCAATTACCTCGGCTAGCACAAATTCTGGTTTAACCGACTCCAGAGTTCTTGGAATGTGTCGTGAAAGTTCATGTAGACTCGTGGGATATAGCACAGAAGAGGCTACCGGCTCAGCCAGTGTTGTCAGACAGCGACTCAAGTGTAAAGCAAGGCTAGAGAGCAGTTCAGACAGTGTAGTAAACTTCCGTCGATCGGTAAAGATCAACTTTCTAGCCGTATGGATCCAGTAAATAGTATGGAGAACGAACCCCTAGCAAGTTTGAACGAGTGGACTTTCCATGGAATATTTTTTCCTAAATCGCAGTTCAATTTTCGCGTCCGCGCTGATTAACCCACCCGAAGTAGTTGGCGTACCTCAGGAAATACTAATTGAAATTATGCAATCTGATTCCTGTTAGGTAGGGTTGTAATACTGAGAGTCCTGCGGCAGGATACCGGCATCTGAATGTGCCTCTCCGGCCGCCTGCAAAGACTCCACTCGGGAAAAGTAACTACTTAAGTAGCGTGTTTATCTCAGCGGTCTTCGCTGTCCTTAAAAATTAAGATATATATTTTTTGTGGGAAACATGCGCAAAAGTGTCTTTTTACATTTATTTGGTAGTAAGTCGGGACCTCTTTAAATTTCCTTCTCAAAGAAACGGCAGTTACCTGCTTTAAGCAGCT